ACCCCAAAAACGTTTGAAAATTTCATAATAAAACATTTAAAATTTCCAGCTTCAGCCGTCTCCAGCTTCAGCCGCAACAATAATTAATTTTTATATGATACCGCATACAGTTTTGTCAAACATAGTTGACCGAATCCCCCAATGCTACGTGTTTATTATGTATAATTGCAAATTTTATTATGAATTATTTTAACATCATACATAGCACGTAATTATACATTAATAATTAACTCACGAGTTAAATTTTCATGATTCGAAGAATGATAAATTCGAGTTATTCAGTCACTATCCGAAACAATCAAAATTTGAACCACTGATTAGCTGTTTCCTCTTTAGGAGTTTGTATTACCAGCACAAATAAGTAAAGTCGGTGTTGTTTAACATTACACAATTTATAAATTTATTTTTTAAATATTATTTTAAAATACTTCTAACGAATAGGGAGGAACTGTTGATGTTACACAACTGACCGATCCTTCACCTAGTGTGCAATATATAAAAAATTATTTTACAATATCAGATAGTACATGTTTAATTATAATCCAACATCATTTTTTCATTATAATAAATGATGTTGGATTATAATTATAACATATACTAGCGAAAGGTTCTGGTATTTTAAAATAATTTTTTTATATGTTGCACACTGGGTGAAATATCAGTTGTGTAATATCAACAGTTCCTCTTGTTCTTCTAATGTTCTGTATTACTCACTTGCATAATAACCTAAGTGCCAATAGGTCATTAAGTAAACTTAAATCCTTTTGAAACTCATGACCTTAAGTTTGTAATCAAAATAGTAGATGCTAAGAAATTTGTAATAATAAAATGGCTAGTTTTGTAAAGTTTCACTACTTAGGTGGTAAAAAGAAACAAGAAGTCAAAGTTAAATATTTGACAATAGAATCATAGAGTGAAGGTATTGCACTTTGTAATATTTGTTATATAAAGTATATAAAAATTTCTAATTATACTAGCTATTTATAAACTTTAAATAAAAATGATTTAGCATAAACTTTAGTTTTAGAAAAGTTTTATACAAGTTGTTTAATTTAATTTAATATATAAAAAACTTTTATACTAGATATTCAATAAATGGTGTAGTATAGCAGTATATATTAATTTTGGTTTAAAAGTTTTTTTTATAAATTATATTTACTAATATAATCCTTATATGCTTGTTTTAATTTGCACCTTTTTACTATTCAATATATTTTATTATTATGCAGCTATGTAATTGATGACTATATTAAAAATTATCATATTTGTGCAAATTACATCATTAAGACATTTATTTATTGATATGCGTATTTTAATATTAAAATAAAGCAAATATTTAAGAATTCAATATTTATTAAAAATAGTGTTATTGACAACTATTCTTTTGAAGCATAGTAATGATTATGAATATGAAATATAATGTTTAAATTTGTAAATAAATTCTTCTAAAAAAAATCTTTTTGCAATTCTTGAATTTCAATTACTTTATGCAGATCATGGATCTCAGTATAATTATAGTTATTAGAAATTTGTTTCAATGAATGTCTTGAGCTTAATAATGGGTTTGTTTATTGTAATACTTGTGCAGAAGTTTTCAGGGTTGGTGTATTTGTCAATTGTGATGCTAGTACTAGTGCTTCTGAACTTGACAATTTTGATGCTAGAATTATTGAGCTTGGTGTATTTGTTAATTATGATATTAGTGCTGGTGTTCCTGAACTTGGTAAGTTTGTTAGTTGCAATATTGGTGCTAAAATTATTGGGCTTGATAATACTGTTTGCACTATTTGTATTTTAGTACTTTGAGCTTGCAAAGTAGATAGCATATTTGATACAAGGTTTGTTAATTATTAAAATACAAATTTGAATTAATATTGTAAAAATTTTTTTTAAAAAAAAGTAAAAAATAAAAAACTTGCCTTAATACATTTGTTTAGCAGATTTAAATTCTTAAAACTTGTTATTAAATGGAAGTATATCAGGAGAATAAGTAACTTAAGTATCTGTAAAAAAGAACATTATTTATTTTTTCAAAAATACATTTATTAATATACAATTTTTTATTTACTTACTAGATATGGATTCAGAAGAATTAATTCTGGTAATTAAATTATTTAGAGCAAATTGTTGAACATCATCTTTTGGTCATTCATAACAAGCGATTACAGACAAAAATCTATGCCTTGTAATTGTTGGTATCTCATAATCAGTTGTACAATATCTTTTAACCATTATACAAAAGTTTTATAGCCTGCTTGATTAGTAAATCAACAATCATCACAATTAATTTTAGTTTTTTTTGCAAGAATTTTTATAAAAGTTTTTAATTTTGTTTGACCAAGCCAAATTTTTTGATACCAAACTTTAATAATAAAATAGTTTAAAAAAATAAAATTGTAAATATTAAATTGATATTTTAATAAAAAAAAAAATATCTAATTTCCACCACAGGTAATCATTACTGGTAATTTTCAATACATAATAAAAACAACAAAATAATTTTTATTAAAACAAAAAGTAATATTTTTATAGTTAAGATTAGAGTAAGGTTTGGGATAAAGTAAGTGTGCTGCTTATAGTAAAATTTTGCAAGAAATTTTTTTTGTTAGAGCTTCAAAAGTAGTTTTATAAGCAGAATTTTGAAATAAAAATGATACAAATGATGATCACCTGTGGTGTAAATTAGCAAATTTCTAAAAAAAATTAAAAATTAAAAATTAATAATATACCTAGTGCAGTCTTTGTACTAATTAAATATAAATAAAATGTTAAATCAGCATTAACTGGTCTTTTAGAAAAGTATTTTTTATAATCTGCAATAATTGTAACATTTTCAGCAGCAATAAAAATTTTATCTATAAAATCATAATTATTTAGGCTGCATTCTTTGCTTTAGACTTGTAAATATATATATCAAAACCTCCATTTTTCTTTTGTAAAAATGTTCTGCTATTAAAGTGTAGTGTTCATCTCCTCTTAAAGCTAAAAAAATGGTATTATAAAAAACAACTCAATATAATAATCTGTTAGGAGTGTTTCTAAACATAACTTCATGATTTAAAATAGATTTTATTTTTCAAATATTAATGTATCCAATCTATTTATTTTACCATAACCTTTTTTGGAAAGATCTCTTGTTTTACCATCAAGTACTTCCCACAAGTCTGGAAATGCTTGCTGATCATATAAGTTAACAGGTTTAACCTTACTGATGCTTGAGTTATAAAACCTATTATTGCCCTTATTGCAGCTAACAATGAAGATACTGAATATGGTGATCCATTTCCTTTTTTAGCAACAGTAGCATAATTGAACTTCTAATTTGGATAGATTATCAACTTCTTCTGCAGCACCTTCATATCCAACATCTGATCGATATTGTTGAAATTTTTTTATCCAGTTTTGCATTCACTTTTGAGTAATAAGAACTTACGATTTATTGCGCAGATTTGAAATTTGTTCACTAGTTGGTTTTTGATAAGTTTTTGGCTTACCTTAAGGCATTTCAATTTAAATATATACAGAGAATAAATCAAATATAAAAGGTTTGATAAAAAAAAAAAATACGAAGAGAAATCCGTGTTTAAAAAAAATTTTTATATATACACATAATTTTTAATTAATGACGTAATTTGTATAAATGAGAATTTTTAGTACAGTCGTCAATTACTGCTTCATAATAACTATAAACTATATTTTATTATGTGTGTACTCTTTTATTCTGAATATTATATATTAATTAATCTTTAAAATTTGTTAGATTGACGTGATTCTGATTACATACTGTATGTACAAATAAATAAATACGGGTAGTGTTTTATGATTAACATTGTGAGCAAAAAGCGCATTTGCTAATTGTAGTGATGACTGAAAATAGGACAGAATTATGATTTAAATATAATACGGCAATAATTAAAAGATAAGCTTCGTTAGCAATAAATTTATTCGAATATTGAATAATTTTGATTGGCTGATGATCATTGAGCGATGTAATTATTGACTCGGGATAACCAATCATTTAGCTGTTCCCGCTGTAATATTTCTATAGACATTTCATTTACCTTCTCTTGGCAATTTAAGATGATGTCGCGTGGCTGCTTTATTTTACAATAACCTGAATTACAAGGTTATTGATCAATAATCATAAAATATTACAGCAACGAAATCTTTCAAGCCCAGCCGAAATAGTTTCAGTTGATCTTAGTGTCTCCGTACACGAACATCCAGATGTCGTAATTTGTATAGAATTAGTTTTGGTTTTAAATTGAGTTAAAATAGTTTTAGTCGAATATGGTGTAAATTGAGACAACTCAGTTCTAATTGAAGATTTAAGCAAAACAGTCTTTGTTGAAGATGGTATAATTTGAATAGTATCAGTTGGAGTTCCTGACTGAGATAATATAGCTTTTGTTTTTTTACGTGATTGTTTTTTAGGCAGGTGTGGTATCATTTCGTTTCCAGAACCTTCGTATTCTATGTACAGTTTCATAACCGCCCGTGCCCCTTTAACCTTTTGCAGAAATATGCTTGATTAAATAGCAGAATTTGATATAAAATATTAATTAAACTAAAAATTGAATTTACCGTTGATGGTTTACCGTCTTCTAAAATATCCATACCAAGTATATCTTGTGCCAATTGTTTTAAAGGTGGGTGTTGTTTACCTTTGATGGGTGGCAAGTATTGAGTTTCACGTCGCAATATATTCGGATGGTCGTCTAGTCCTAATGACTTTAAAATTAATCATAATCAAGACATTAATTTGAATCCATGTCGACATCAGACTGAATGAAATTAAGAAATGTTTACTTTAAGAGTAACAAAAAGATTATAACCAATAATGATCTTATTCTCTATCTTACTCTTCACTAATGCTTGTGCATCCGTAAAATCAAGTGCTGAGTATTAAATAAATAAATAGATATATATCGATAATTAAATAAATATATACAGCATATATATAAATATATATAGTAAATAAATATATATAATTATTATACCCATAATTGCAATTTTTTAGTGGCAAATTTTTGGGACTTACCTTCGGTGTGAAATTTTTCTGGATTAATTCCAAAATAATTTAATTGATCATCGAGATTTGTGACAGTCGTAGGTGGACGTATATATTTATTTAGTATAATATTACCCTTATAATCTACTAATGTTACTTGAACAGGAGTCCTGTCCCTATTTCGATCGGGACCAGTAGAAATCATTATGCCATTTATTGCCGCATAATTTCTAATAAAATTAACTATACATTAAACTTTTAATATGAAGCATGTAAAACTAAAACATAAAATAAACATAATTTACTGCTTGCAAGATACCACAGTAGGACATGGTACGGGTGTGGTCATTAGCCATTTTTTAGGATAATCAAATTGTGGTACCATTTCATCCCAATGTTCTCGAAATTTCCGAAACAATTGCATAGTTGCGGTAGCATCTTCGATCTAATAATATACTTTATTAGTTTAAAGTTCTGTATTTAATAAATTTATAAAAAAAATTGTAAATTAAGTTTACTGCATCATGGTTTTTATAATTCTTCTGAATTTCAATGCCAAGTTCAGTTTTTACTATGTCTTTTAGCTTATATGGACCATCTTCCTGTCGAAATCTTTTACAAAGTGAAACATCACGTATCATGTTTAATGGATAGTCTATTTTTAGTGACTTAATAATTATAGCGATAATGATAATAATGAAGACATTAATTAAACTTGAATATAATATCGATTTTAATTAATAAAAATTACAAATATTTACAATTAAATCATTTTCTATAGCAAAACCAACAAGTATTTTGTTATTTGTTGCATTAAGAAATTCTGATCTTACTTCTTCAAAACTAGATCCTGAATATTGAATAAATTTAAAATATCGATATACAATAATAGAAATACAGTAATTTCACAATATATAGCAATGTTTACCATTATTAATAATTGATTCCAGAAGACGGGTTCTCTTGGTATGCCAATGATCTTCTGGCTCATTTGGGCGGATATATCTATTGAATACTACATTATCATCATAATCTACTAATACTACTTGTGCAGGACGTTTCATGAGTACATTACTTCCGGGAGGGGCTACTGCAATAAATTCACAATCCATTGATAAAATGTCACTGATAAAATGGTTTATTAAATTATTAACTATAATGTAAAATAAAATAAAGTTAATAAAAAACTAAATCGATATACTTACCTTTGATTTTGCATATTATCTAACAAATAATAAATTTTAACTTTTATACTATGTGCATCAATAAAGACTTGTTTACTTGAAATAAAGTAAAACTTACTGCTTCTGCAGGAAGGCGGTACCGAAGGACAAGCTTGATAAGTAACAGAAGTAACGGAAATAACAGGTAGCACTAAAGTGCCAAAGAACAAATTAACAATTAACAAGGTAAATATTTGTTGATGCACCATTATTGCCATTATTGTTGAATTACAAAAAAATTGTTGTTAAAGAGTTTATTCTTTAACGATAATTTCAAAAACATCCGAAAATATTTATAGTTTTTGATGAAATAATCGATCGCTAGTTTAGACTATTTAACTATGCTAATTATATTAATGATATATTTAAAGTTACTTCTTTAAACTGTTACAATTAAAGTCAATTATAACTATTTAAATCACTTTTACTAAAACGCACTTGTGGTGTTTTATCACCTACATGTATGAAAGCGCTAAAATTGGTAGATTTTAGTTAAACCATTTGCTATCCCACGTTTTACAAATTCTATAAAGTTATATAAATTTTATGTATAATTTTTATATAGATTTACA